CAGGATAGATCGGAGGACCGTGACCTCCAGTTAATCCCTACCCCGACTGGGCTGTTGGTCTAATGTGCTCAGTCTAAGATAGTCATAGACACAATGCCCAATCGATTCGGACAGTGGCGATCGGGTCTCGAGATTTACTATGATTTTTAAGTCATAGTAATTCAACTTAGAGAGTCATAATTTATATATAACACCATTTATATTTCTGCATTTATATTGAAAAATATGTATCATAAAAATATTTGAAATAAAAATTTAAAATTTAATTTTAAAAAATACTAATTTAACTGAATTTCTTTTATGTTGTATCCACTATTGTTAAATATTTATTCCAAAAGTTTAATAAATTTAATAAATTCCATATATTAATATATTGTAAAAAAAATACTTAATAAATTAATTAAACTATTATTTTTAAATTATCTATATTACTTTATATGTTACATATGTATTTAATTTCTTAAACCAAATTATATTATTATTTTTATATTATTATTTGAAAATTTTTGAGCAATTTATACATCTTGCAGATAAAATACAAAAAACAATATAAAATAATCAAACATTGATACAAAGAACTCTATTTCTTGAGCTCTTTGCATTTGTATGTAAGTGCATTACAAAATCAATAAATAGTGTAATACCAGGATTAAATATACAACTCTAAACTATTTAAATCTATCCATTTTAGGGCAACAAATCTGTGAAAACATATCCAACTGCAATACTTTAATAATAAATATATAAAAATAGTCTAATATAAATTTCACAGATTTGTCACTCCAATATAAAAAATTTGTCACTCACCGACCCGATGCGCAACAGCGGAGTTAATCTGCAACGTAGCTACGATGATTCTGTAACAGACAAACAGATGCAAATTATAGCAGCGCTCGAAACATAGATATTTTAAAAAGTAATTCTTATGCGTAATCTCAAATCTATTTACTTTTCTATTAGATATTTATTAAAATAAATATATAATTAAAAAAAAACTTTATAGAAATAAATTTGTATAAAACTTTAAACTTTTTGCTTTTCTTTTCGGAATTATTTTAAATTATTTTAAATTTTAAATTATTTAAATTTAATGATCCAAATAAAAAACAATTAATATTGACAAGAAATATATATTTACCGCAAGGTTGCTCCGCCGGTGCCCGATGCCTCTCTTAGACCTCCTCCTCCTCTCAAGGTGTCGAGTCGTCGGATGTCCTCGTAGCACAGGACACTCGCGAAAAACACTCGCGAATTATTTTAATCGCGCGCGGACTAACTTTCGATAAAAGTCTTTCGCGCGATACTTGACGGCACTCCGCGTTTAACTGCCCGTGAAAATATCAAGTTCCGTCGGTCCAGTCAGCACCCGAGTCGGTGAGCTTTTCGGGACACACGGTAACTCTTCGAGCAAAGGCTAGAACCGAAGCGGAAGAAGACGAATCGACTGACTTGATCCGACGTCTCTTGTTTCTTAGAAATAACGTCTAAAATTGACTCAACTATCGCATAGCCAACGGTTCAGGTCGAATCACCAGGGCGGATACCATACACGTGATATCAAAAGTCACCCGGGCTATCGAGAAGGCTGATAGACGTGACGAGAGAAAAGGTACTCACCGCCGATGCCTAACAATTTAGACAATCGGACAACTGGGATCCAGTCTCTCGGCACACGCAATAACCGCCCGAACTAAGCTCTGATCGAGTCAGATTAAACGCGATTTGTTTAGGAAGGGGAAGGGTAAGGTATTAAGGAAGGGAAAATAAAGGTCGTTGGCGATTAAATAATCGCTCGCGCCACATAGGAGCCCTTTCACGACTCGTGGCAATGCTGTGTCGAAAATAAGAAATCAAGAGAAGCGACGAAAACAAGTCAGCCGATTGAAATCTTACCGATTGGGACCGAACCACTTGTCGAAGACAGAGCGTGTTCTCAATCAGCCGTTTAATGCAGTTTGCAACTGTGCGAAACACAACACGTCAAGCGATAGCGAGTGCGTGTAACATTCACAGCCGGCATCACCAGTGCCGCGGCGCACGTGGCGTGAAGACGTAGCCGACTACGCCTCAATGAGATCCCACGCTCCCTGCACCCCTTGACAGTGCGACTCGACCGGCTCGAACTGTGATATTTTTCAAACGAGCCCTCGCAGGGTGAGGAAAAGTCTGTTAGTCCGATCATTTGTACGGCACTCCCGAAGCAAACGCGCGACGCGACGAACTGGCTGCAGTTCGTTCATTCACAATTAAATCGGCGGCGGAATGTCGATTCAAAACCGACGATTAATGCGTGAAACGCAACGTGTTTGCCACATAAGAGCCATTTCACAACTCGTGGCTATGCTGTGTTAGTATATTATTAATAACAATAATATTACTTAACGTTAATATTAATGTTACTAATAACAGTGCAACGGGTACTAGTTAGCTTCTTCGTCTTTGGGGTTACGTACTCAAGTAGCACAATTAATCGGCAAATTATTCTGCTGACTAATAGTACCGCTTGGATAACCCCTCAGAATACTGAGCCCCTCTGCCACGTCAAGGCCGTACCCATTAGAGAGGTATAAAAGTTACAAAAGTTGTGAATTTACAAAAGTTATTTATACAAAGTTATGAATTTCAAAGAAATAAATCGCGAAATATATATATATATATATATATATATATATAATCTTGTTGTAGAGTTTTCATTTCGCTTACGAATCATATCAGTTAATAAGCATTTATTATTACACAAGATATTATTTCGTAAGATATGATAACGTTTAGTTAGAAAGAAATGTGCGAAGAAATATAAAGAAGCGATGCGCACCGCGACTTGTCCGTACGAACGCCGGTGAATGAATGATAGCACGTCAACTAACACTTATAAACACGACTCCGCCGTGCGTACACAACAGAGCGAGACTGCTCCATCAATGATCTGACTATGACGAAATATTCAACAATATTACAAATAATATCTAACTTACACTTTAGCTTTTAATAATACATCGAACATTAAATAACGTGTGTATATATTTCATTAGAGAGTATCGTTTCGATATGCTTGTGAATTATTAATCTGACAATTTATTCACTCATTTAAATCAGCGGTGAAATATTGATTAAAAATCGCCACATCAATGCCGTACCCATCGGAGGGGTTATCATTTACAAAAAACCATAAATTTCCAAGAAATAAATCGCGCGACATATGCATATACTTTATTAAAAAGATATTGTTTCAATACGTTTATGAATAGTTGATCAATCATTAATAAGCATTTACTATTATATTTATACGATACGGCAACGTTTAATATCATTTGATAATGAAGGAATATGAAGAAACACGGAGCGATACGCGCCGCTACCTGTTCATACGAACGATAAAGACTGATAACAGATAAAGAATGATAACACGTGAAGCGCCCGTAAACATGGCGCGCGTGCGCGCCGTACATACTACGACCAAAGATCGTAAACAGTTTTGAAGGCCACGATATCTACAATGTGTGTGAAACGAAATATTCAACAATATTACAAATAATATCTAACTTACACTTTAGCTTTTAACAATACATCGAATACATTAAATAACGTGTGTATATATTTCATTAGAGAGTATCGTTTCGATATGCTTGTGAATTATTAATCTGACAGTTTATTCACTCATTTAAATCAGCGGTGGAATGTTAATTAAAAATCGATGACTATTGCGTGTGTCATTAATATTATTAATAACATTAATATATTATTGTTGGATGATATTAATATTATTAATAATATATTAATAATATACGCGTACGTTTCAATATATTTATGAATAGTTAATCTATCATTAATAAGCATTTATTATTATATTCATACGATACGGCAATGTTTGATATCATTTGATAATGAAGGAATATGAAGAAACGCAGAGCGATACGCGCCGCTACCTGTTCGTACGAACGATAAAGAATGATAACACGTGAAGCGCCCGTAAACATGGCGCGCGCCGCGCGTCATACATACCACGACCAAAAATCGTAAACAGTTTTGAAGGCCACAATATCTACAATGTGTGTGAAACGAAATATTCAACAATATTACAAATAATATTTAACTAATACGAAGCTCTACAGCGTCTTTTGATGACTCAATATTAAATGCTGTAATCATTACGTTTTAAATGCCTTCCGAATAATCTATTATCGTGCATTTGCTGCTTTATACAATAAACTAGTTAAAAACTTATTATAAAGATAGATATCTTATATATTTTATGTGTGTTATATACATATATAGTAAATAATTGTTATAATAAAGTAGTTATTGCTATTCGCTATTTGTATATATTATAAAATAATGTGTAAATTATAATTGAATTCATAAGAATTTGAGAGTGTTCAATGTTAAAGATATTTGGATTAGATCATTATTATAAAAATAATTGTTTGTAATTATCGTGAACCTATTGTTATAGGTACATCGTTACGATTATAATAGAATGAATTATACTAAACACTTTCGATAATATATATATTCAATTTATTTGCAAATTTTTATATTCTATACAAAATTTAATTAATATGTTGTGAATATATATGTTGTGAATATATTAAGAGTTAATTTTATATTAAATTCCATTTATAAAAAAGTCGTGTAAAATTGTTGACATTTTTCTACGATGTTAATTATTCTTTCACTTTGCTCACTTCGTATGACATAACTGTTCAAATGTTAATATTAATACTTGTGTGAAGTTTTAGTTGTGAAATTATACAGTATATGATATAAACATTTTATATAAAAATATATAATGTTAAACAATAAATGGCGCGCGCTTTGTAATGTTTCTAGTTTAAAAAAAATATTTACGTATATTTAATATTAATATTTTTATATTTATGTTAAAAATAAAGTACAAATTATTACTTATAAATACGTATATTAAATTATATGAAAGATCTTAAAATTTCGTAAAACATTTTATGAAAATATCAAAAAACAATCATTGTCATTATTATTATTGTTCAATTATTTTCTAGATTTTCATTATGTTTTCTAGAAAAATGAAATAATTTCGATCGGAATCTGTATGTACCGAACAATTCCCTAATATATACCGAAGATCAGATTGACGTGAGATGAGACGAATGGAATCGTGAGATGGCGCTGCCAGTATAATTTTCGGTTAAAAGCCTGCTCTTTTTAACTGAACCTTTCACACGTGTTTAGTTTTCGTCTCCTTCTCTCCACGGTGGAGAGAAAAGAAGGAAAGACGAATGATAAGAAGTTCAATTAAAAAAAAAAAAAAAAAAAACAATAAAATCGCAAGTGTGCTATCTACGTGGCATGTAAGAGAGAAAGAGAGGGAAATGATTCCACATTTAGTTTCTTCGTTGATATATTGCTCATAGAAATACGCGAATGTAGTATACAGTGGTATATGTTGTGAAAAAAATATCAGATAAAAGCAGACTTGTGATAATATCCTCGAAACGCAGCTGAAAAAATATAGCTGATTTTAATGACAACGCGAGCTTTTTCCTGAGAGAACAAGGTGCGATTCTTTTTTTTCCTTCCTTTTTTTTTGCTCGATCACAATAGTGCTAGTGCGCACTTTGCAAACTAACCTTCAAATCGAAAGCGAGCTCCAGGATAAAAGATTTTCTTGCTATATAATCTAACAAATAGGTTGAAAACATCTATTAGATCTATTAGATCATGAAAATGTTTCTTTTTTAAAAAAATATTTATTTGCCAATAAAAAAAATGGCGAACTTGATGCTTCAGCTGTAAAGAGACTTGACTGTGAGAGACGATTTTGTAATAGCCACTAACAAAGCTTAATTGATATTATGTTTAATCAGATAATTCTTGGAATCATTACATTTAATCTGCATTAGAAATCATTTACTAACATTTATTTAACACCTAACATTATTCAGTTCCTAATGAGATCTTTTAAAAAAAAATTAAATTCCAATTCCAATGACAAATTCCTTTGTAAGGAGATATTGTTGGGGATATCTTTAATTTTAAGCAGTAAGATTGTGAAGGGTATATCTGAGAAAATAATACACTATTAAATATACATTAATTTATTTTAATTACTAATATCTTATCATTAATCCTTTGCAGTCCTATATCAGACTAAACTTGAACATGCTTCCCAATAATTTATCGTTTTTTCAAGAATTTTAATCGGTGTGTGATTATAATCAGTAAATTTGGATCTCCAACAATTTATCTAAATGATAAAATTTTTTTCATTGATGTTAAATTCACTTGTGTTATGTAAAAGAGATCTTTGCTTTTTTATGAAGGATAATTTTTATGAAGGACTGCAAAGAGTGAATTATATTGTATCATATACTTTCACAGCTTTGTGGATTTTGTGTTTTATTGTTGTACATTTCTGTTATATATTTTATACAAGTCTGATCATGAGAGCTATTCCTATGTAAATCAGTTCCTGCGATTATATTATTTTATATTAACAAGCTTAATATTTGATATCACAAAAAATTGTTTTTTGTAGTAACGTGTATGACATGTAACAAAATATATTTTATATCTTGACAAGGGACAACTACAACTTTCAGGCACGATACGAGATAAAGAGCAAGGGATAATAACGAAAAGAATACCAAATTGAATTATAAGAACTAATGCAAAGACAAAAGTAATTTCTGCTATTTTGAATTAATTTTATATTTTATAATAGAAAATGAAGAGAACAGTTTCTTCATGAAGAAACAAAAGCAATTGCAAGATAATACGTTCAGTAAGAATAGTCACACTAAATTCACATATAACATGGCAACATTGTTCGAGAAGCATTTTGCAATCTCAGACGTGCAACGAAACGCAGAGACGTATGTGCTACCTGATCCGCAATCCATGTTTGAAGAGCCGCCATGGCAATTGGAGAAATTGCAAACATTGAAAAGCGACTTGAACGAGGTGAAGAGTCTCCTGAACAACTTCAATCTCAACAAGTGGCAGCAGCACACGAATCAGATGAACAAAGCGGGCTACATCGTGAAGGCAGTGAAAGAAAAGATCCAGGCGGAACTTGTAACTCAAGCCTGGTGCAAATTCTACGAGATTGCTAGCAATTTTCCTCTGGTACCATTAAATGAGATCTGTCGTGAGATAGACAGTAAGAATTTCAGATCCGTACACCTCTGTGAAGCGCCGGGTGCCTTCGTGACCGCCTTGAACCATTGGCTGAAGACGAACGCGCCCGATGTCCAATGGAATTGGCTGGCGACCACCTTGAATCCGCATTGCGAAGGAAATTCGTATGACAGTATGGTCGCGGATGACAGATTTATCAGGCACACTCTAAAGCACTGGTGTTTTGGCGCCGACAACACAGGCGATATCATGGACCTGAGAAACCTAGACGCTCTGGTGGAAAGGTCCGAGTCTCTCGACGGCGGTCGGATTCTTCTAGTCACTGCGGACGGCAGTATAGATTGCACAAACGTGCCTGCAGAGCAGGAGAGCGTCGTAGCACAATTACACTTTTGCGAGACGGTGGCTTGTCTGCATCTCTTGCAGAAAGGCGGTAATTTTCTACTGAAGCTTTTCACTCTGTTCGAGCACCAATCTGTGTGTCTGATGTATCTGCTGTCTTGCGTCTTTCACGAAATCAAAATAACGAAGCCGGCGTCTAGCAAAGCAGGAAACTCGGAGATGTACGTCGTTTGTATAAATTTCAAGGGTAAAAATTTTGTAGCGCCGTATTTGCATATCTTTAGACGTTACTACGGCAATGTGCCGCCTGCGAAAGCGATGTTCAGCTTGCGAGATATCCCGAACGCCTTTTTGAAGAGAATCGAGAAGTGTAGCGAATTCTTCAAGCTCCACCAGTGTCAGGTCATACAGGATAATATAAATACATTTCGAAAGAATACGAAAGAGTACAGAGATATTCTTTCTGAGCTCTTGTACATTAAACAAATGATCAGTATGAAATATCTCAAAGATTGCAAATTGGAAAAAATGGATCCCGCGAACGAGATAGTTGGCCGCGAGATAATCGAAAGGAACAATAGTCATTTTATGAATAGAAAACTGCATACCAATTCTTACAATGACCGTTCCAAGAGACAAGAACCGCAAAAGCGTTTGTTGCAAATATGGAATGAAGCGAAAGAGTTCGAATCCCCGTCAGAAAAATCTTTTGTTGTAAGCAAATTTTTCAAATGTGTTTCTAAATCGCGATTTTTATACATTTAGAAAAAAACCATAATTTTTACCATAACTTAAAGAATTTCGAGTTCTACCTGACTCTCAATATGCCTATGATGTACAGACATATAGTATACTACTTCTAACTTTTGAGGAGATTCTGTGGGCAAAAATATTCTCGTGGTTTGCCAGACCGTCGAGAGGAAACACAAGAGCTTATGAAAATATTTTGATCCTACCGGAACTCGAACTCGGGATCTTTAGCATACTCGACCAATACTAGACTGTCTACTGTGCCATGCTTACTCCCAAAAGTTAGATTAATAAAATAATAAAAGTATAATGATGGGAAAGATATTTTTATTTTATAGTAATATTTATTGTAAAATAATTTATTTTATAAACACTTATATTATTGCAATTTGAGAGATAAATTTATTTTTTTTATTGCTTATATAAGAAAAAAAAATGTTTACAACATGATCATTTTACTTTTATAGTGGTACCTGCGGGAGTTACCAGAATCTTTAGAAATACAAACAGGAAAATCGTTTAACAAAGTATGCAGTTCGCGCTTTTGCGACTCGAGAATTCAGCAAATATTAAACAATATTGATAACATACTACAAGATATTCCCTACAAGATCATCCGCTTTCCATTAACAGAAATTACAAGAGAGTTCACACAGCAAATCGATCCGTCTCACGAGATATTAAGTTTCCAATTCGTTCAGGATTACGACAGTCATCAAACAATCACCAAAATCTATGATCGATTAAAAAAGCTCCAATCTGAGCAAACACTTATTCTTATCGGTTACTCTTTATTGACGCAATTGAATGTTGGTCTTTTGTTTCTCTTGGGAAATTTTTTTAATAAGATCATCGTAGAAGTTCACGATAACGAAGGCTATCGCATTAAATTGGAGACTTATCAGCGCAACGAGAAATTGTTGAATTATTTGCGTGAAATTCTGATTGCATCGCATAATGCACGCAATGAAAATATGGCAATTTGGTCAATAATACCAATAACGGTTTTATACGGTAAGATCAGATTTCACGAATGCATAAGTGAAGATATTAATTATGACAGCATTTTATATTAATATATCCTCATTAAATTTTACAAAATATTTGTTAATTGCAGACACATTTTGTGACGAACAAAACAATATTTCTCGTTGCAAATTAATATAATAAATTATTTTTTTCTCTGCTTAATCTATAACAATTTTCTTTAAAAAATTGATATACATGTATATAAATTTGGATTTAATATTTAATCACAGTTCTCATTAAAATATTAGGTATTTCTAATCTGACAAAAATTCATTCGTCAGATTACAGATATCTTAATTGTCAAAAAATGCACCTATTGCCTTATATAGATTTTTGACAACAGATTTTCTTTCTAGAATGTGACCAGTTCCCTGTGATGATGCAACTTAATCAATTGATGATCAAAATGTATGCTCGTCACGTTATACATACAATAATTGACAAAAAGCTGTAACAATGTGGAATTGGATATTTGACAATGATTTTATATAAAATTATAAATAGAAATAATTATAATTATTTCTATTTACAATTTTGTAAATTACAATCCTGGCTTGTGATAAATGTGAATCTGTAAATATTATCCTATAAATACGTGATTTATGAATTAATCTATATGTATACAGAGCTTTGTAAGATACGCAATGTATTAAAATCAAATGGGAAATTCACTGCATGCATGAGAAGATAACACATAAAACGAAAATGGTAATTATATATTTGTGCTGTAATTATTGGAAACTAAAGAGCTAAATAAATATTTTTGTTTAAAAACAAAACTATATAAATTTTACTTGTATTTTTAGATAATTTTAAATTATCTCGTTTTTCTGTTTTTTTTTGTTTGTAAATCAAACTGAAAAAATATTACTATTTTATATTTTACGAATATGTAAAAATATATAATATACCTTTAGATAATTAGCATAAATCTACATAGGAACGACAAAAATTTTTTTGCTTTTATCTATTGCAGTAATATTATTTCTGTTTTTAATTTTTATTTTTCAATTTTACATAATGATAATTTGATCAAACAGCAAATAAATAACACAATCTAATAAATATTTTCAGGCCCAAGGCATTTGTGGGATATGCTTATTTTGTAAGTAGTGGACTAATATTTTGGAATCATGTTTAATGCATAAAGTGAAAACTGAGATTCTGTTACTCTAAACAAGGACATTTACAAAGAACAACGTCACATAAGGATTCAACGACTTCGATCGACTCAACATCGGAACAGTATCATAACAGTGTAAAAACTCTGTGTTACGTTTTAAACCAACATTGTAGATATGAAACACCATCTTTTCAAGAATAGCATTCGCTTTCTATCCAGTGGACAACATATACCGAAAGTATGTATTGTCGGCGCAGGTCCGGCAGGCTTTTACGCGGCACAACAAATATTGAAGGTAATAACGATAAATTAATTATAATTAATAATAATATTTTATTAATTTCTTTGAAAAAAATGTATGTGCTATTGTATTATAAGTAATTTGCATGCATAATAATCGGTTATTAAATAATTAATATAAATGTCTTATGAGGAATATAAGAAAATTTAGATAAAAACATATGAAATTAATTGATAGGATTTAAGCAATGTGAGAATTGATATTTTGGAGAAACTGCCAGTTCCCTTTGGTTTGGTGCGTTATGGAGTTGCTCCGGATCATCCGGAAGTGAAAAACGTCATTAATACATTTCACAAAACCGCAATTAACCCACGTGTTAAGTTTCTAGGCAATGTTAATGTTGGCACGGACATTGCTGTTGATCAGCTGCGAGAGTTTTATGATGCAGTGTTATTAGTATGTATTTAATATTCAGAATCAGTTATATTATGATTTAATACTTTTAAGACATGATTAACATTTTTATTTTTTAAATTTTTAACTTTAAATTAACTTGATATAAATTGCTTTATATTATATTACCTTTAAATATTATTAAACATATTGTGTATATAAACTTATTGTGTATCTAATTATTGATTAATGATAAATTTTGTTTAATTAATGGTTATTTATTCCAGACTTATGGTGCTCAAGAAGATCGATTGCTTAATATACCCGGTGAAAACTTGAATAATGTAATATCAGGCCGGCGTTTCGTTGGTTGGTATAATGGAGTTCCGGATGATAAGGACTTGAACATTAATTTAGATGTAGAAGAAATAGTTGTCCTAGGTCAAGGCAATGTTGCTATAGATATTTCGAGGATTCTCTTGTCACCGGTCGATAAACTGAAGGTAACACTTTATTTCTTACATAAGGATCGATTTTTTTTAAATTAGAAATTTTTTATATATCGACAAATTATGAAGAAAGCTTTAAAAATTGACTTGTATATCTAAAAAGATTTTCCAATTTTATTGTTTGCGAAATCGATACGATTGTTTCAGGAAACCGATATCACATCGTATGCCCTGGAAAATCTATGTAACAGTAAAGTAAAAAGAGTATCCATGGTTGGGCGAAGAGGACCTTTGCAAGCCGCGTTCACAACTGCAGAATTGCGCGAAATTATCAAGTTAGAGAATTGCAAAACTTTCTGGCGAGAAGAAGATTTCGCAAATGTGCGGGAAATAGTACCGACTTTGGCTAGACCACGAAGACGATTGACAGAACTAATGTTGAAATCTTTAACAGAATCGACAAGCAATTCGGTGTATACTAAAGAGCTGCACCCAATCTTTTTACGCAGTCCCGTCGAGTTTCATGGCAACAATAATTTGAAGAGTATCAAATTTTCCATAAATCGTTTACGAGGAGAAACAATTCAAAATACAGTAGCCGAAGCGACCGGCGAATTCGAGGAGATCCCGTGCGGTCTTGCTGTGCGCAGTATCGGTTTCAAGTCCCTTCAAATAGACAGCTCGATTCCGTTTAATGTAAAGAAAGCATGCGTAGAAAATACAAACGGTAAAGTTGACGGAAATCTCTATTGCGCCGGATGGGCAGAGACTGGTCCAATCGGTGTCATCCTTTCGACCATGACGAACGCATTCCAAGTCGGTAGATTGATATGCAATGAATTAGCGTCATCAGACGAAAATAGAGCGGGCTCGGATGGCCTGCGCGAGATTTTAGATTTTAAAGGGATCCAGGTTGTATCTTATGAAGACTGGCAGAAGATCGATCGCGTCGAATTAGAGCGCGGCAAACAGCGAAAAAAGTTACGGGAGAAGATAGTCGATGTATCGGAAATGCTGGAGATCGCTGCAAAATGAATCCTTTTTTAAGACGAAAAATTCTTAAACGATATTTCGGAAAACTGAGACGTACATGAATGAAAGAATCAATGAATTCAGTTTATTTTTTGAGATTCAAAAATTTGAAAGATTAATTCAGATTTATTTTTCGCGTTTTAAATTCGTTTTTAACAAGTTTTGCATACTGATTTTTATACTGGTTGTTTATTTCTGTATTACATGAAAGGGCTAAATTGAATAAAAGTTCATTACACTTTATATATATATATATATATATATATATATATACACACACACATCACACATACACATACACATACACATACATAAAGATTATATGCGACTTTCTGTTTATTATAACTTAACCTCTAAACCCATCCCTGATTCGATCCGATTATCAATTATCACATTTAAAGAGGTAAATAGTTTTTAATAACGTATAATAATGAATAATATGAACATAATAATTAATTTTTCTTGTTCTATATTAGATTTAAAAATATATGTTCAAAATTTTACATAAAGTAACTGTATCAGCCAAGTTAATAGTTTCTATCTTTATAGGTTAGATTTTATAGTTAAAATTTAATAAAATTTCAACAAATTGAAATGTAATTTCTATAATTTTTCCCTGCACAATTATTATTTATATAAAGAAAAAATTATTTTAGTATTGAAATTTATTAAATTTTAAAATCTGAATTCTTTCAATTTAGATATTAAAAATTATTTCCAATTATTTCTAACATTTTGCTTAAATGGATTTTTCAGACAGCTTTATTTATTTTTGTTTTTTGTTATTGTTAATAACTGTTAATAATTAAAGAATTTACAATTTATCTAAATATCTATTTAAATGTAATAAATATTAATCTCTGAAATTTCATATTGTTCTATCTTTGTATAGTTCAAACATGAATTTACGAGAGCCAAAGAAGAAAAGAACAAAGTTGAAATTACAGTTACCATTCCCCATTCCACTGAATGAACCACAGAACTGGCCAATATATACAGCACACCTCACAGATGTAGGAACCTGCATAATTGAGCCTGATGAGATGGCTGCGGTGCATTCTATGGTAAGAATCAATTTTATTAGAATATAGTATTTTCCATGAGCAACAGAATAAACATTTCTATATGCAGGGATTTTTTGGCAAAGGATCATTATCACGTAGTTATCCATCGTTTGGCAAAAGAAGATATGAAGCACCACCTGTTATTCGGAACAGACAATGGGTTCGCAGACAGAAATGGCTTGAGGAAGTCAAAGAATTGAACTCTAGTAACTACAAAGGTGTGCAATAAAAATACATTGAATTATATAATTTATATCTTTTTGTAAATATTAATATATAAAGATTGTGTCCCAAAATTTTAAATAAGATAGAAAACATAAGATGATATTAAATATACTGAAAATGTATATTGTTAATCCCAGACGTTAAAGCAATTGCACAATCCGAAGAAGAAAACGTTACGAATAACGATGAAGAAAACATTGGCGATGTCGTTGAAATTCCATCAAATTCCATTGAAAATGGAAATAAGCAGAGAAACGAGACCGACACAAAGAATATAAAAATTGATGAAGTTACTTTAGATTCTGCAGAGGAAGATGATATATGCATTATTATCAATAGGGACACGAAACAACAATGTGATAACACTGAAAGTTCACCAAATGCTTACGATGATATGAACAATTCAGAAGAAGAGGAAGAACAATATCAGGAATTGAATAATTACGATTTTAAAAGCGATTGTGAAAATGAGAATGAAAATCAACATGGAAAGTTGTTAGTACTGCCAGATAGCGATTCGGACACCGAAAATTATTTGAAAAATATTAAGCCGAGAATTGAAAACGAAGGTTTTCCTATTCGAGAAGCTCTACATCTCACCTTTGAAGAGACTTTTTTTCTTCTTTTTGGATTAGGTTGTCTGCAAGTGGTTCACTTTGATGGCAGTTTGTTGAATATTAATAGCGCATGGTTATACTTTTGCAAAGAAAAACCAGATTTTTTACAGAAATATATAGTTTATCATTATTATAGGAGTAAAGGTTGGATAATCAAGCCCGGTGTAAAATATGGTGGTGATTTTTGTGAGTATTTGTTTTATAATTTGTTCTTTAAAAATATACATACAATTAAATATTTTGCTTTTGTTATACAGATATTTTTTATATGAATATTAATTTTTAATTTTTTAAATAATTTTGAAAATATTTTTGTTTTCTTTATATTATTTTTTTACTCAAAATGTTTCGTAAATGTTTCAGTGCTTTATAAAGAGGGACCACCCTTTTATCATGCTTCTTACAATGTTATAGTTGAAGTAGTAGATGCAGATTCTTTAATTATCGATTCAACGATGTCCTCGCGAACTATGACGTGGACCAATTTATATGGATATGAGAGGCTCTCCGAAAACGCTGCTAAGGTAAATATACATTCTATTAAATATAATATGTATGATAAGTTTAGAGAGATACTTATACCTTTTGCATTTAGCACGGAGTATGTAATTTTCTTATCTTTATGTGTGTGAATAATAGGAAATACTCTTCGCGCAAGTTTTATGGCCATCATCGGTACCTCGGGATATCAGTGCTACTAGTCCGGAAATACTTTCAGAATTCACAGTAAGAGAATTACTCTGGCGTCGATGGAATCCGAAACGACATCGGGAAGATGTTCTTATCGAAGATGAGGATGAAGACTCTTCCTGATTTCCTAATCATTATGCAAGTTTTATATATCAAATTTTTATCATGATACCGCACACATCCGCGCGTACATGCGCGTATATACATATATGTATTATTCTTTATTTAATAAGCTGTATATATATTTTGCATTAAAGTGTAATGTAAATTGCTATATAATGTCCTATGGTAAAGCAATATTTATTTTTTTATAAAAATAACACTGCAAATTTCGTATAATCATAGAAGATTTTTATATTCTCTAATAATTATCAACTGCCATAATATATAATTATAATAATAATCATACATATATTATCAATCTTAGTAAATGTACACACACACACACACACACACACACACACATATAGTTTAAAATTCTATAATAATTAAAATAATTACACAAATTTATTTTGACATCTTGATATTAAAAAATATTAATATTTAACTATTTTTTTTATATATATAATGGAATATTGAATTGTATTTAACATGTCCAGAAAAATTGATGTCAAAAGTAAAAAATTAAATTTTATTAAAAAAAAATATGAAATTTATGAGAAATTTGAACGTTATGCATGCATACATGATATCTATATCATAATGTAATGGAATATCCTTAAATCTGTACAAAGTATCTGAGTACTCGGTGCGACGTTAAATCGAATCCGTCTCTTTATCAACGATCGGCGATTCGCAAGCGGTGGTATCGCTTGCGGTACTCGCCAAGTGAAAGCAAGCAACGATCGCGAGGGCCCACTACATGGTCTCAGGGCCCGTACAGTCAGTCTAAAGTGAGCTGAGAGCTGGCATGCCGAGTACCGTGCATCGCGAGTTATCAACGAGTTAAGCATCTCCTAATCAAGTCTAGGATAATTGCGTTCCACGCGATCCGGTACGTAAAGAATAGACGGACATTATTGTCAAACACTATATTGTGTGACAAGATAATTGTCAAAAATCTCTGTGTCAATGTTGAAAACTATATTATACGTTTAGCATGTGAAGTAATATTTGAATTTTCATTAATAATAATATTAATAAACTTTTGTAATAAAAGTATATTTACTCTAATATCTTATTCTCTTTATATATATATATATATATATATATATTCTTTTTATTATTTTATTTTGTCTTAACAATTGTATTTTATTTATATTCTCTGTTTAAGTGCCGTATTTAAGTTTATTTATTTTTTTTAATTTTAAAAATGTTTTGTAATTATTTCTATTAATATATCAATTAAAAATTTAACTGGCACTTGGATGATATTTTATTTTCTTTTTTAAATTTAAGCTTAATTATTTATGAATATCTAGTGGAAATATTAAGAGGCACTTCAAAAAATTTATATTGTTTATATGTAAAATAAAAGTAAAAAAATAACGCTAATTTTAAATATGCCTTTAAATGTTAATGTGAACTGAATTTGATTCAAATTTCGCGCCTAGAAAATTGTAATCTGAAAATAATCAATTCCAGGCGGATTTAAATTACAAATCTCAATGATATTAGATCTCGATTCACATTCTTTTTTACTGAAATATATCTGACAATTTTTTGGAAGAATCGAAACAGACACATTTCAGCTCTTGTCTTTTAACTGTTTTTCTTGGTGAGAGAAATTCAATTATATAAATATAGATATTCTAAAGCGTACTTAAAATAAAGTGATGTAGTAATATACACATATAAGTTAATTCTCAATTGTTGGTGCTTCAAAAAAATAAATCTAAAACATAAAAGAGGAATATACATCATGTGAACGTAAGTCTTTTTTTTTATTTAGATTCCAGTTTTCGTGTTAAAATAAGAAAATAATATGTAAATCGATGATTAGTTTATTAAAAATGATACCCATTATCTTTGTCAAATAATATAATTAACTTTACTAATAATAAGTAATAATAGAATTATTAATTTTTGGATACGTGGAAAACAATTTAAAAAAAATAAAAAATAACGAATTATGTAAATATAAATTTTACTTTAAGCAGTTCAGTCAGTTAAATTAATTGGGGTTTAATTGAAATCATTCAGAATGAATTAAAGCAATTATTCAGACTACACGCGCTCCAGCATTACATACATACATTCTTCGGCTCGTGAAAAATGTTCGAGGACAAACACGCGATGATCAGAACAGCGAATGAATAAAGAATCGTGTCACTTTCATGTAAGCTGAATATGAGAGAAAGTACGAGAGAGTATTCATCCGTATCTGCGCTTAATTTGTAGGAGGAGAGATGATGCGACGAAATTTTCCAGCTAGAGAAGCAAAAATACCGAATTACTTGCTGTCACAAACTTTTGACATTAAAAAAAAAATGAAACTTTAATGTGGCAACGAATTAATTTTCTTCTTTTTTCTTAAGAAAACTCATTCGAATTTAATTCTCTTAATAACATTATAAAATTAATTTAATTCACGAAGAAGATAATTAATGAGAGAATACTAATTTGTCTGCTTTCTTAATAACAAATATCTAATTCATTGACTTGTCATAAAATTTTCATTAATATATTTATATATGTAGTTAAGCATTTTTATATTATAATAATTTTATAATCGTGATAGTTGCTGTTAAATTTTCTACAGAGTTACAATCGTAACTCGTTTTATTTGAAATTTATAGAAAAAAAACCAGTGTAGTAAAAAATTTTTTCAGAAGTATCTTTCTACTTTCTTAAATGTGATTTAAATTTCAGCCGGAAAACGAATGATTAGGTATTGTATGAGGCGCGCATAGAAATATTACTTATAAACGATCGCACACCGTAAATGAACGAGTGAATGTCATCCTCGTCTCACGATACGCCTGAGAATGCAGCCGCGATCCGAAGCGGCGATGAACAAGCATTGAAGTCACCGAAGCGAAATTTTGAGCGAGTTTAACCTTTAATTGCCATCCACATTTCATTCAGAAAAACTCGAGATTAAACACATCGATTAATCGGTTAAAAGATTATTAATTGAAACTGAAAACTTATGTCATATAAATTGCTCTAAACTTATAAACTAATTATACAATCTCTTTTATATCATATCTATTTAACCGCGTTTACGATATCCGCAAATTCTTCAATGTCCATTTCTAGTAATGTAGATTAATTTAATCTCGGATTACTTCTTATCTTTTTTTAACTCTCAGAATCAGGAAAGGATAATGAGTAAATTAGATCAAGATTAAAGTTAATCCGCGTTAATTGATAAAAAATATAAGACATTGAAAAAATTTTAGAGAATAAAATATCTTAGATGAAGTTCTTAGAAGTATATTTATCCTCTGATGATTGTTCTATTATTGATTGCATCATTTCCTGTGTTCTTAGTTAGTTATTAAACATATCAATAGTTAAGATTATAATCTTGTTAGTTGTTAAAACTGGTACCATCGGTCTTGATGCATCGCCTGTCCTTTGATGCACAATCGAGATGTGATCTCGATGAGGAAGACAGTGGACATCATGTATATCTAAAGCTGAGCGAGATTCAAGTGAAAGTGTATAACTGTTTGCACCGTCTATACGTTCCCTACGGCATCCTTGCGCCGACTCCTGGTTGTAATTGGGAATCGGTTCTATTATGTTGCGTTACATTACGTGCACGGTATACACCTGATGTGCGAGATGTGCCTGAAAAAGCGAGAGTCTACCTCGATTAGCATATTTCAGAACAAAACAACTTTCACTCAGATCTGATAAGCGAATGAAGTCGCATCTTCAGCTTTCAGAATTGTAACAGTCTTTCGCAATTTTACAATTCTCGGATGTTATTTAATCTCCGTCGCTTATCCTTAAATCACATTTCTGTGAAAGAATGAAAAGAACAATTTTTGGATTTTGGGCAATTTTATAATTTAAAAATTTGGCCAGATACAGATTTGAAAATAATTTTTTCGAATTATCAAAATAATTATCTAGAACGTTTGAAATGTAAAATATGAAATATTTTTTTGTATCATAGTATTATCATCATGCTTAAGGGTCTTATATAATTATTAAATAATAACAAAATTTTAATTTATCTATATTTGATCAAAGATTTTTAGATATTTCCGCAAAACCATTCTTTCCGAGTCAGATTGTTAATTATTGACAATTATTTCTAAATATAGCAAATAATTCTAAAAATGTTTTATCTTCTCTAATTAAACGAAAATTTATTATCTCTCTTAATTATAACTCAACAACTGTTACGAAAAATTTATGAATCTTTCAATTTTCGTGCTCGCGAATGTGATCTGGATTATTTTAATACGTTGATTACAGTTTCAAGTTTTTTATAATTTATCTGTTGCCGCTTGGGTCTCGATAATTCCAGGGCTCGACGTGTTACGAAAAAGTTCTCGGCAGTCGTTCTCGATGTCGTTCTTTCGGCTCGCCGCCACGCTTACTCGATCGTTTCCATTCGGGGCCGGCGATGGAGAGCGATTGCTAAATGGGCATTCCTGAGAGACCTAAGCTTGGTTGCTTTCTAAGCGAGGTCCCCGGTCACGTGCGGCCTGGTCCCGGTTTGCGCGGATATTTCTGTTCCGACACGTGCGGCTTGTCGCCCGCTCGTGATCTTACGCGGTCCACGCGTGACGTGCGAGAGCACGTTCACTGCTCCCGTTTTTACACGCGCTCTCGATACACTTTTGCCTCGATCTAACGCACTGCCTCACGATATAATGCACCGTATGATTACCGCGAAGGGGCGTAATTACGGAACGATGCGATTGTCGCAATCCCATTGACCCTGAACGTAGCACGGATTCTTTGACTTCTTTTTTTTTCTCCTCTCCTCTTCTAATTAGAACGGATGAAGTCAAGCATTGAACTCAATTGAGATTTGTCCTGCTTGGAATCGATGACTTTGTTAAAGCGTTGTGCTGTTCTCTTTATTTCAATTTTAATAATATAATCTTCAGTTCAATTTTAAGGATTTCTTCAGTTCTAATCTAATTAAAAAGAAAATCTCTGCAACTTTATTTGTTTATAATTTTCGACGTTACAATGCTCTTTTGTTTAGAACGAGAATCGGCCGGCCGATTGTTACGGCAGGCGCGATTATGAGTCGGCGGGAACGGGAGCGAGTCGGTGCATTTTTACGCGCATTAGCGATTGCATTACGTATGCACTCGCGCCGATGGAAAGTAAAATAAGATTCACGGAACGAACGCCGATACACACACGAATGCCGACGGCTTCCGAGTGAAATCGCGCGCTTCCGCTTCCGACTTCTCGATCTTGCCGCGCCGTGATCCATTTTTAGATCCACGGGAGAAAAACGGAATCTGGGTCGATCGGTCGTGCGCCGCGTGATCAGGAAGCAATTAAGGAATTACCAACAACATCGACTGCCATAAGCGGCAGGGAAATTTACACATGTTGCTAAATCGCATCTGCGTATCGCGCGATACCTCAGCGATCTTTCTTTCTTTCCTAACGCTTATATCGCGGGATATCTCGCTAATGAAGCGAGCTTTATAAATGTAAACAGATATAAAACGTATTCTTCGATTAGTCGTAAAATTAATTTTATCTTCGTTATCTTCGAAGTAACGTTATGTTATTACCACACAAATCCACACAAACATTTCCCTCTCGAACTTCGATTGAAAAATATCATTGCAAAATCCGACGCCTCGACGAACAATCGCGTCGTCGCGAAGGTGATCAATCGTGTCTTTTCCGTTGCCAAATCGCAAACAAGTAATCGCGAACAAATAATCGCGAAGGCAGAGAGACACGAGGTGACACGCGGACTCTCGGCGCAATGCATTTGGGCACTTTGTCATCCGCGAAAATAAACCCGTCTCCATTCTGCGAGTCTCACGCACGCGAGGAAGTCGAGTTAAAAGCGAAACGCCAGACGCGCGTTCTCTTTTCGCGTTTGCACGAGCGAAC